TATTATAGGTTGAGGTCATCGCTATTATAGGTTGGAGGTCATCGCTTTTAGGTTGGAGGCCATCGCGATGATAGGTTGGAGGCCATCGCTATTAGGTTGGAGGCCATCGCTATTAGGTTGGAGGCCATCGCAATTAGGTCGGAGGCCATTGCTATTACAGTAGGTTCCTCAGCACTGCATAGTTTTTACATGTAAAAACAATAGTTTTTCAATCTCCGATTCGAACAACACCGGACTGAGCCACGGGGGGCCAGGCCTCGACATCGACCTCCGGATCTGCCTCAAGGCGATGAGCGACGTCGTTTCGGAAAGGGACCGACGAGGGTTTGGGTCAGTCATCCAACGCATCCAGCATCCAGCCAGGCACATCCACGTATATAGGGATCTATATTACCAGAGAAGTCTTTTTGGGCCCATGACCTCCATGGCTGGTGGGTTGAGTCTTACCAAAGTGCGGGCCACAAACTAGGAAGGGTTTTGCCTTGGGATGCATGGAACTCGATCTGGAGCTCTATTTTGCGCAGCTGGTTCCAGTTTTCAGGAGGCATCTCCCAGACGCCCAAAATCGGCACCAAAACCGGGCTTCGCTTGGAGCGAATTCCGCGATTTCGGACTCGTTACGAGTGCGGTTCCATGGCGTCGGAGCTGGCAGGTCAAGGGATCTGGCCGATCAACCCGAGGCCGCGAACCATTGAGGGTATGCGTGGGTGGGATTTGGGTGGGTGCATAAGACGCAAAGGGATTTGCTATGATGGGCTCTTGGATTCATCAGTGCTTTCGTTGGGTTGCCATGGACATTAAAGCACGTTCCTGTTGAATCACAACATTGACCTGGTGGGTCGCAAGGAACTGCAACTACTTCCCCCACAGATCATGTGTGTTCTGTGCAGAAACTGCTTCAGGTCTCCAGGCGATTCGCGAGTCGACTCGGCAATTCGCGAGAACCCAGCGCCAGGCGGACTTGAGGGCTGAGAGCTACAGGCCGAGTTGCTGGAGTCGGCACTAGAGAGGTGTTTCTTTTTTAATTTTTCGATTTTTGGTGTTTTGGTGTCCACCAGAGGATCTACCAGGAGCGGACATGAAGCTGCATTTGTTGCCTTTGGTGTGGCTCAAGCGTACAAAAAACATTTAAAGAAACAATTACGTCAGGACAAGGGTCTAGAATTCTGAAGTGAGGAGCTACGGACTCGCATCGTTTTGGATGTCAGACCCAGTCGGACCTCTACCGTTGTGGTTTGATCGGGACGGTCTTCGCACCCTTGGCGATTGGCGTTATTTTTCGGCCGAAAACAGCGAAAGCGACATCGACTGGCTTGATGAAAGACACTGTGAAGCAGTTGAAGCGTGTGATTCATTGTGTTTCACGGTGTTTCCATTTCTCAGGGGATCCCGAAATCCTTAATTTGCACCAGACATTGTTCAGTTTTGCTCAGTGATCACTGAACTCTGCACAGGTTGAACGCGTGGACTTGGAAGCTTTTGGACATTTTTTTGGGATGTATTTGTGCGTTTGCCATCGTACCATATCAGTGGTTTTTCCAGGCCCAGCGAGGAGCAAAGCGAGGCCTGGGAGTTGATATGTTGTTTGGCAGACGAGCAACAATATGAGCCACCAGGAAGATCTGCATGTAGTTAGTCGTTCATGTAGTATTGAAACATGACCATAGGCCGATGACGAATCGATGCCTTTCGACATAAACGGCTGATCACATGACACGTCGGAGACGGAATAGCCTTGCAGAGACCGACTTACGCCACACTCAGACTCAGACGTCTCAGACGTTGGAAAATGACCTGGACGTGGGGGAACTGTGGCTTTGCCCCGATGAGACTGGCAGAAGGGTCGTCCGGTATGTCCAGACATCTCCAACTCACCGACCTGGAGCACTTCGTGGCCTTTTGATATCTGATACTAGTAGCTATTTGCTACTAGTAGCGATGCCAGAAGCTACTAGTAGCTTCTTGCTCCTAGTAGCAAGGCCAGGAGCCCCTAGTAGCTATTTGCTACTAGTAGGTCCCGTCCGTAGGGTCCTTGCTCCGTTCGTAGCGATGCCCTTTGTTACGTTCGTAGCGCCTTTGGACCGACCTTCCGAACCGGATCTGCGCACGGAGCGCCCAAAGCGGATCGCCTCAGGTGCAAAGCACCGCGCCCAGCGAGCGCGAGAGCGTCAGAGTGGGCCAGGCGGGTCAGAGACAGAGTTGATGGTGAATGAGTAAAACGTAAAACATGATGCATGAATATATGACACTAAAAGAAATGTCTATATGACAAAACAATTGTAAAACAATGTAAATGTGTTTGGATTCATGAATATTCATGATGAATCCATACGACACAAACGTGTCATAAATTAAGTATAAATACATCCCATCAAAACCACCGAACTGGATGGCCAAACATCTTAAGGCCTGTTCGTTTTTTTCATGCAGTCAACATCAGTGCTGGGCCGCTGGAGGAGTTTCTAGCTGTAAAACGTGAGTGACCCCTGGATATGAATCAACTTCTTGGCCGTTTCAGGTGCTGAAACTGAAACCCCACGCTCATGTGGCAGACAATAGTCAGGTTTGTTAGTTTGTCCTGGTTTTCACGCATCAATAGGGCCTTGGTACATTTTCAGAACCCTTTTTTCCTTTCAGGCATGTTCATGCATAACAACAACATGCACAATATAGCGGATCCAGTGAGATCGCTTGCAGGGAGTCCCAGCTGTCATATATATAATACGACTTATATATATATATACATACATATATATATACATATTATAGGTAGGCTTCTTGGGATTCACCAGTGGTTTGGCTTTTTTAGTGGTGGTGGAAAGTTATGGAAAGTTGACTTGGGACTGGAATCAACTTTTGATTCACTGAGGAGTTTGATGTTTCACTGGGCATTGATTCACTTGTAACTTGGAGTTGGATACATTTGCT